CGAAGGATCTTTTCTTCAGCAGTACAAGAATACAGACGTGTACCAAACCTGTTGTGATGTAGTAAAGTACTAGGGTAGATAAAATATATCAACTTCTTCATTTATATAACTTTAGTTAAAACTTAATTGTGTAGGTAGGTATGCCAGTATGTGCATCTTTGTAAGGATAAAAGGTTGATTTTTAATAATCAGAATATTTTTTTAACTGCTGTGAATAGTTAAAGCATTCACTCCTCTTGCTGCTGGAAGACTAGGCTGGGATGATGCCTCCCAGTTCTGTCACGTATAATTGGAATGTTGTTAGTACTGATAGGATTAAAAGTACTACAGCGGCATCAGTTAAGACTGTTAATGCACTGTGAGAAGCGGTTTATTTATAAACCGGGACGCTTTTCTGCCACGTAAGCTCGTTGTTTCTGACAAAATAAGGCAGCAGGGTGGCGATGCCTGTCTGAGATGGCAGGATAACAGCGAGATGCTGACATAACCACAAGGATATATTTCTGAAAGCTTTTCCTTGCTTTAAGTGGCTGAAGACTGTCTCTCAGCCTGGGCCGCGTGGGCTTATGACTCTCTGCATGGGTTTATGCATAAATCTTGACTCCTGTAAAAGAGGCTAGTGAGAGCTGGCTTTATGATGTGTATTTGAAAACTCTTTGCAGTCAAAGCCAGGAAACAGATCTGGAAGTTTTCAGAAGCAGTGATTTGAATTAAAAGAGGTCTAGGGCACTTCAAGGCTTTCAACAGATCTTACTCATCTGCATGTTTTTCCTGAGTTTTTAATGGAAAAAACTTCTAATGGAAACCCACGATAATAACTCAGCCTGCCGGTGTGAGTTGGGTGGTGCTATGTGCCTCGCTGTCGACAGCAGAGGCTTTTCCAACTGCAAGTACAGTTGCCTGCAAACAGTTACAGGCTCAAGGAAGGAGAGACAGTTTTAACACTAGTTGCAATGTGTAACCACCCACGTATTCCACTAACGAAAACCCATTTCTTATCCTTACAGATCGAATCAACATAAAGAGAAAAGGTGCATGGCCTTCTGCCTACCTCTCTGTTCAGAATGTGATTGATTGTGCTGACGCGGGATCCTGTGAAGGCGGCGACCACTCAGGTGTCTGGATGTATGCCCATGACCACGGCATTCCAGATGAGACCTGCAACAACTACCAAGCGAAGGATCAAAGTACGATGCCTATTATTTCCTTTGCTGTAGGGCTTCATCCCAGGTTTAGCAGATCTTGATATTAAATAAAAGATATTTTGGGGGGTTTTCAGCGTACTGGTTCCTGCCTTTCAGTGCAGTACCTGCTCTTCGACTGACAGAACAGGTTTTCCTTACAGACCTGTGTGTGTTGTCTTACTCCAGCCAGACAGCATAGCATTAAGTCATGCCCAAACAAGTTTGCACAGCTAAATTGTTTAAACTTAATCTCTTACATCTGTGATATACGATCTCTAATGTACTGAAATATTTACAAGTGTCGCCTCAAGCTAAACAAAGGAGAAATGTAAGCTTTGTCTGGTCAGGTATGACTGGAATAGTGTCTGTATCTGTAGAGAAGCACATCTGAAACGTTTCCTCATTAAAGCGCTTGTGCCTATGAAGTAAAGAACAGTAACTAGTGATTGGAGAGATTTCAAATGTGGTTTCCAGAAAGGAATTTAGTTCACCAGAGAGAGTATGTGTTAGTAATTAAGTTATTAATATCTGCCTCAAATAGGTTAAAAGGAAAAAAGCTTGGTGCATGTCCTGGTTTTGGCTGGGATAGAGTTAATTTTCTTCCTAGTAGCTGGTGTAGTGCCATGTTTTGGATTTAGCATGAGAGTGTGTTGATAACGCACTGATGTTTTAGTTGTTGCTAAGTGGTGCTTACACCAGTCAAGGACTTCTCAGCTTCCCCTGCTCTGCCCGGTGCCCAAGGAGCTGGGAGGGGACATGGCCAGGACAGCTGGCCCAGACTGGCCCGAGGGCTATTCCATACCGTATGGCGTCATGCCCAGTACAGAAACTGGGGGAGCTGGCCGGGGGGCAGCGATCGCTGCTCAGGGATGGGCTGGGCATCAGTCAGCGGGTGGTGAGCAATTGCATCGTGCATCACTTGTTTTGTATATTCTATTATTATTATTTTCTCTTCTTTTGCTGTCCTATTAAACTGTCTTTGTCTCAACCCATGGGTTTTACTTCTGTTTTTTCTGATTTCCTCCCCCATCGCACTGCGGGGAGGGAGGGTGAGCGAGCAGCTGCGTGGTGCTTCTTGCCCACTGGGGTTAAACCCCGACAGTGAGGTATCATTAATTCACGTGAAGAAAAGCGTTCTCTTGCAGTGCTAATCTCACTTTTGTTTTGTAGAGTGTAAGAAGTTTAACCAGTGTGGAACTTGTGTCACTTTTGGAGAATGCCATGTGATAAAGAACTACACTCTCTGGAAAGTTGCTGACTACGGGTCTGTCGCGGGAAGAGAAAAAATGATGGCAGAAATCTATACTAATGGACCAATTAGGTAATAAAAAAAATCTTGAATAGTTGTTTATTTACTAGCAATATTGGGATTTAAATACTTGAAACTCATTCTAGTGACTGAAGTGTACTTCTCCACTCTAGCATACGTTAGCAGCTCTGCACTAGTGTGCAGACTTTAGCTTGTTTGTAGATAAATTGAGCTCTGAAGTCAAAATGCAAGAAAACCAATTGTTTTTTAGCCAGGCCCCTGCCCCGATCCCCTTGTATAAAAATGCTTTCTCTGTTTTGTTACAGCTGCGGCATAATGGCTACTGAAAAGTTGGATGCTTACACTGGAGGACTTTATACAGAGTACAACCCCTCGCCTGTGGTGAATCACATTGTATCTGTGGCTGGCTGGGGTGTAGAAAATGGAGTAGAATACTGGATTGTTCGTAACTCATGGGGTGAACCCTGGGTAAGGAAACTTGGGAACAAACGTGTTTGCAGAATGACTTTAGAG